TTTCACCATGCCAGTAAAAAGCCCACTATGAGACACGGCTGGCTTTAAACTAGTTACCTGGTTCAAGAGTGCCCAACTCCCCTTTGGGGTATCGTTGTAAGAATTTTGTTTTCTTTTGTTTTTTGTTTTGGAAGCTTTCCTACTCCCCATCCTATCTTTAAAAAAAAGAAGCAGTACCTAAAGAACCAAACAAAACAACTTTAAGCAACCGTCGCATTTGAAATGTTTCCAACCTCTTTAAGCTCTTAGTAAAACAAAAATGCTTCTGATTAAAAACATGTTTTCTATGTTGCTGCTTTGACAAGTCTGCAAATTCCAGTTTAAAAAAAAAAAAATCAGCAAATGCTTACCAACTATTAGTTCATTGACTCACTTCCAAGCAAGTGTTGACAGTTTAGCACATGCTATAGAAAATACCTCCCATTAAATTTCTACTCTCTCACACATTTTCACAGTCTTCCCTTAACATGGGTTATAAATTGAATCGTTACATTCTAGAAAGCACCACCAACTCTCAGTACATATTGCACCGTTAGTGTACCTTTTGACCGAGCTGACTTGCCTGATGTCAAAGCCATGATTCTACTCAGGATAGAGAAAACAGATTTAAAAAAAAAAAAAAAATCCTTAAAAATGAAGTTCGGTCTGTTAATCAAGAAGTCAGACCTTGTCAGATTCAAACATTTGGAATTCAGGGCCAGATTGCTTGCAGGACAGTCTTTTAGGACATGCAAATCATACCAAGTAGATTTGTGGATTTGCATGCATACAGTCCTCAATTTACAACAGTTCATTTAGTGACCGTTCAAAGTTACAACGGCACTGAAAAAAGTGACTTATCGATGTTTACCACACTTACGGCCGTCGCAACATCCGAATAGTCATATGGTCAAAATCCAAATGCTTGACAACTGGTTCATATTTATGACAGTTTCAATGCCCCAGGTCATGTGAATCCCTTTTGTGACCTCCTGTTCCGACCCAAACCCTTTTCCAATAAAACAAACATGAACCAAAGGAAACAGAAACCTTTTAATGATTCTTACGAATCCTCAGTTAAAAGGCTGCTACAAACTAATTAACTTTGATAAGCACAAGCCTCGTCAAAACTGTGTGGGGCTGCCAAGAATAACAGATAAGGTTACCTAGAGATATTTTACATACAAGAGTCTTCAAATACCAACTTAAGATACTGGAATGTCCACAAGGCTGGAGTTTCAAAAGTCTTTGCTTCCTACAAAGAACATTTGATTCACAGCTGTCTTTTATCTTCTTGAAGGAGGGGCCATTACCTTGCAGCCTTACTCCCGAGTTGCCCGTGCTGTTGTAACTGTTCTTTCCTCCTAGCAATCCTTTGTGCATGCGCACTTGGCAGAGGCTCCTCAGGAACCTCCTCATTACTGCTGCCAGCCCACACAATCTCTGAAGGCAGCAGTCCACTCCCTAATGGTCCTGGCCCCTCATCTGAGTCTTCACTCTCCTCAGCCATCCGTACCTGCTGCCAGCTAACCACAATACCTCCTGTCAAGCAAAGTCAATGGGGAAGCCAGATTTACTTAACAACCGTGTTATTAACTTAACACCTGCAATGATTCACTAGACAATTGTGGCAAGATAAGTCGTAAAATGGGATGAAACTCACTTAATAAATGTCTCCCTTAGAAATTTGGGGCTCCATTGTTCTTGTAAGTCAAGGACTACTTGTACTGGTATTTCATAGAGTGAGGAAGAAGTTTCAACTTTCCTCTCCATTGCTGAGGAATAGATGAAAATGCTGCCTTTGTAAAAACAACTGCAGCAGGAGAAAAACTTACTATTAGAAATAGTGCTACCATATTTGAGGTTCCATCAAGACCCAAGTGGAAAAGAAAGAGTTAATATTTTCCACTCCTTCTTCAAGCATTCCAAGACTGAATGCCTCCCCTCCTCCCACACTAGTAATTCTGAAAAGATTATATAACTTCAAGAGGCACATGACATGTTTTGTACATTTAATTCTCAGGTCCTTGTGGTTGGCCCTGGCAGGCCTGTATCTGACTGGAATTCATTTCCATATACCATGTCTTCTGCCTTTGTTCATGGTTTAGGAATCCCAGTGATAACTCTGGGGGCCTCTGAAATCAGCTGCACTGCTAATCTAGTAAAGGCTAAGTAAAACAAGTCATTGTTTAAAAGAATGCCAACAAAAGAGATTGTTATAATAATCTTACACCGTATGGAGCTTTTCCTGAAAAAAAAAAAAAGCCAAGCGGTTAAACTACTCTTAAGAGGGAGTAAAGGAAACAGCTGTAAGCATCAGGATCAAGCAAAGATCCCACTTTGAGTAGCTGGTGCCTTAAACAATGTTAGTTCCTTCAGTCTTTCTCTCCTGCGTTCACAATGCCAAATATATTCAGCACAAGCAGCAAATAAATATGCGGCCAATTAAGCTTTACAGACTTGGTACGACTTTGCTTTTTAATTCCAGCATTTTCCTTCTCCTTTTGTGCCGGTGCTGGTTGGATGCATTTTCACTCTTTGCTTGGCCCTTAGACAATTATGTAACTGGTATCTTTAGAAGCATTCAAGTGTGCTGGAATACACAAAAGAAGGACCTCTTTCAATATATGATGACTGGTGTGTTTGCCAACAGCCCAACTTCATTAGAAAATTGGCACGTCCACTCAGCTACCATGTGACACGCCGTTAACCATGGATATTTGTAGCCTTAATGCACAAGTACTCAGGGACTGAGCTGATAAGGGGAAAAAACTCCAAATCTGCAGATCTACACGCTTAGGGTGGCACAGAGCTTTGCAGTATTGAAAATCAATAGTCATGTGACAGTTAAAAGATCAGAGGTTCCCTGTATTAACTTTGGAGCACTGAATTACAGGCATCTGCGTTCATTTATTTTGTAAATGCTAAGAATATACTTTAAATTCCACAACTAAATCTCACTGTGGAAAAACGAACGCAGCAATGGAACAAAAGCAGCCACAGTCAAAGAAGGATAATGGTTAATAAAATCTAATTTAAATAGTATCATTCTCTTTTCAGTTAAGTCTTGGGAGGTGGTTTGAAAGCAATGGGCTATTTTTCAGATCTACCCATTGAAATATTCAGTGTTCTTAAACATAGTAGCAAACTGCAAAGAGAAATAAATACACATAAGATGCCTTATTTCCAATCAGGAACAGATTAATCTCTATGATATTGTTAAGTTGCCTAAATGCAAGTCTATTTCTATTAAAAACTGAACATTTAAAGAAATGATAGAAAATGTCATTTTTGGTCATGTTACCATGGGAATGCAGATTTTACGATTTGCATGGAACAGGCCTCGCTGCAGAGCATATGGTATATTTCATGATAAAGGTGAAATATATTTTTCCTCCTCTTGTGTATATTTTCAGTTTATGTTTAAATCATATTAGCCGAGTAGTTAAAGGCTTTTGACACTGGAGTGAGGGAATGCATAATGGCAGTGCCTATAGCCTGTCTCTGTCTTTCCTGTCCCACTCTTTGAACAGCCAAGTTTCTATTAAGATTGGGTGTGCTTTGAAAATATTCAGAAGAGAAGAGTTTCTGCCAAACTGAAAAAAAAAGAGAAAGTTTTTTCAAAAATAGCGTATAATTGCTGTATTGCTGCACACGTTTTCTAAACAATTTTTGGAAACAAGAACAACTTAGTTTCAATCTATTCTTTTCACCCAACATCTCAGCTCTCCATTTCCTATCTAAAGAGAGTCCTCACTTACTGACAGCCCCATTTAATGACCATTTGAAGTTATACCCCTCCCAGTTTTGCAACCAATGCTTGCATTATTACTGCCACAATGTCCTGTGGTCAGAATATTGCACACATTTACAACTATTGCCGAATTTTGCAGTTACCTGATCGTTATTTGCATGCTTCCCAACCGGCATGCAACATGCAAAGTTAATGGAGAACATGGAAGTAAAATCATAAGCTATGGCCACATGATGTCTTGCTTAACAACCATGGTGGCTTGCTTATTCACCAAATGACAATTGATTTCAGACTGCTTAGCCGCAGAGTTGCCATCCCAATTCTGATCACTAAGCAAGGACATGTAATTTGCTATGACAATTATATCAACCTCGTACGAGTTGTGTGTTTTACCTCCTATTAAAATAGCTCCTATTAAATACAATTCCCATGTTTTCCATTTAAAACACTCCATGTGACACCTCAGAGTGTGATAGAGACAAAAATGGGAATAGCTAGCTTTATTCCAGACAGGGCCAGTTCTAGACATTTTGGCGCCCTGGGCAAGGCATATTCTGATGCTCCCTAGGGTATGGCACATCTTCCAATTTGAATTGCATTCCAAAAAGATGCCCTCTTTTTTCTTTATTTCAAGGTTTTGAGCTTTATAATGATATTTTCACCCCCAAACTGCCTTTTTCCCCCTTTCCTCTGGCATTTTACTCTATTTACTGTAAATCATGGAATGTTTATTGTGTCAGCACCCATATAGCAACAATTCTGTGAAATTATGTCTAATCCTTGAGTGGATGGACCAGTACAAAAAATATATGCTGTTATCACTTTTCTAGGTATAACTTTCATAAGCTGATAGTCACGTGATCCAGAACTTTCCTATAGGACATTGTCTTGATGCGGTAATATAGGTGGTCCTCGACTTACGACCACAATTGAGCCCAAATTTCTGTTGCTAAATTAAACATTTGTTAATTCAAGTTTTTGCCCCATTTTATGACTTTTCTTGACACAGTTGTTAAGTGAATCACTGCAGGTTGTTAAGTGAACTGGGCTTCTTCCATTGATTTTGCTTGTCGAAAGGTCAGCAAAGATGACTACATGACCCTGGGATACTGCAACTGTCATAAATATGAACCAATTGCCAAGTGTCTAAATGTTGATCATGTGACTGTAGGACTCTGCAATGGTTGTAAGTGTGAGAAATTGTCATAAGCCACTTTTTTCAGTGGCATTGTAACGTTGAACAGTCACTAAATGAACTGTTTACTTTATTGTCATTGCACCTTGTACAACGAAATCAAACACCATCTTCAGTGTACATCATGACCATGAAAATAAACACAAGCACACTTCTTTCACACTCCACTTTGAATTGAAACCCACCGACACTGCACCAACAGTGCACTATACAGTAGAATTCAATAGAGTTACTGCCCTGGGATAGAAGCTGTTTTTCAGCCTATTTGTCTTTTTTTTAATTATCCTGTACCGTCTTCCAGATGGTAATAGTTCATAGCTATGCTATGCTATGCTATGCTACGCTACTCCATTCCATTCCATTCCATTCCACTCCACTCCATTTTATTCTATGGAAGATCTTCATAGATCCACATTAACTAATGTCTCCTTATTCATATCCAGATGATCATTAGATAGTAGCACAGAGTAGAGATTTCTGTACCTGTTTACTGTCATCTGGTGATCATCCAGATGTTTGTATTCTGACAACCCCTCCAATCCAGAAATTCTCTGTAATCCTACAGTCCTAGTCCACTGGAAATAAATAGGCATAAATGGTTGCATAATATTGGCAATCCCTTTATGTGAATATCTTAACCAAATGTACACGGTATATTGTTCAGTTATATTAATTTTTATTGAATTAATGCATAATTGGGACTAATCGGGAGTATATCCTGAACATCCATTTGAACCTAACACTACCATTGTTTGGCCTTAGTAAATTATGGCCTGATTCAATCTTTGTGTATTAATTACATTTGGATAACTTGGCACAAAATGTTAAGCGCTAACTAAACCAAAAACTGTATTTTGCTTTTGAACAAGGCTCAATCTATATCAAACACCTAAAGAGGAATTTTGTTGCATGTTTAGTTAAAGCAGACACGTAAATATAGTTCTCCAAATTATGCTCTAAACTTTCATCAGATTATGCTCAAAACCTCCTAACCAAATGAAAAATGCCAAGGAATGATGTGAATTCTACCCAATATCTGAAGGGCCATATATCATTAATGGGTGACTTAAAGGAAATCAGTAACATATAACCTCTAAATAGTACCAAGGCATTACTCTTCCATTTACTTGAGGCCAAGTATAGGATGATATTAGAAATCTCACATTCCTATATATTTATTTAAATTACTGTTTCAAATGACTCTACCGTTTTGTATCCCATTCTCTCTAAAGACCATCAGGAATTGAACAAAAAAGAGAAGAAAAAGAAAAGTGATATTGAATCACTTCTCTTTTTCTTGATTTGTTGATTACATGCCTTTGAGTTGGTGTTGACTCTTAGTGATCACATATACAGAAGAATTTCCAGAATGATATATCTACAAGCTAGACCTTCAGGTCTCCCAATGGTGCATCTGTTGCCATTATAATTGAGTCCATCCCTTTTTTTCTCTTACTTTCCATCTTTTCCCACACTGTAGTCTTTTTAAGAAAGCTTCATCTTTGCATAGTATAATTTGTGCCTGAAATGAGAACTCTGGCTTGATTTTTTTCCCCCTATAATTCTATAATCCATGTTTTCTTCGCTATTTGTGGAATTTTCACCAAAGTTTCTCCTACACCAAAGTTCCAAAGCATCATTTTAAAAAATTCTAATTGTTCAAAACCCAACTTTCCATAGAGCATCGTAGGAAAAACCATTGCTCGCAAGTTCCTTGTGTTTATAGGCATAGATACATCACAGCATCTGGTTACCTTTGCCAAGGCATTTACCAAATGCTAGACAATCACATGTTTTTTTGATTAGTGTTGACAGTCCTAGAAGGTAGAATTTACCATTTCAGTGTCAGTTCTGAGACTTGTTTCTACGCCTATTGTTATTAATTTGATCTTTTTCATATTTAGCTATAAGTGTTTTTCTCTTAAATGTACTCTTGACTTTTATTACTAGAGCTTGCAGATTGTATTTTCAGGCATTAGGGAATACCATTAGGATAGCACAGATTATTTATGTTTACTCCTCCAATTTCAGAACCACACCTTTTTTCTTCAATCTCAACCTCCCTCAATATATTGAATATATAGGAGGAATAATTTAAGGAAAGAGTGTGCATGTTTTGCATAAGGACAGTGAAATATTCTGGGATTTCCTTATTCCTAAGGATACTACACGATTTTACATTTTTGGTACAGCCGGAGGGATTTCTGTAACCAATAAAGTACATATTTACTTCTTGTGGATTTTCTTACACGTTTTCAATTATCTTGCATGCATCAGTAATAACATATTTTCTTTTCAGGCTTTTATAAAACAAGCCTATATATGTGGCATCTCCTTTTCATTGAACGGTTCTGATCTGCATTACATGCTCCTAAGTTTTATTGTGCTATCACATAGAATTAAGGATATTGTGTGAAAATTTGCCCACTGGTAATTCTCTTTTTTGCTACTGGTATGTATACTGACTTCTTCCAATCTATTAGCCACTGTGTGTTCTCCTGATTTGTGGGAAAAGTTTGTTTGGAACAATAATAATGAGGGATTTATTATAAAAATTGGAATGATACTTTCAAAAACTAGCAATTTAAAAAGTAAACCTAACTCTTAAAATAAAATGATGACAACATATTTCCTGAAGAACAGGAAACCAGCTTTCAATAGAGAACTTTTGTAAATGTGATACTATTGTGTCAATCACACTACCTTCAACTGTCAGCCTTTTATCTCTGTAGAGATTGAAGAACAGGTTTAGAAAAGATCTTAACATGATTTTTTCTCACCTGTTGTCTTCAAGATGTAGCAGGACACCCCTCCCCCCATTTTTTTCAACACATCTGGAGGGAATCAAGTCAGAAAAGCTGAATACAGGCAGATTCACATAGGAAGAGATCCTTCGGATACTCTATTCCCATGTGGTTGAAGGCTTTGCAGTTTAAAGCAAGCAGTTTGAATAATACCTGGAATGAAATTAGAAGATAAGAGAGACCTTTTAACTCTATTGTCTTATGTTCATTTTCTCAGGTCTTCTCTAGTAACCTTGCATTTAATACTGAACTAATGGAATTCTCTATGTATATTTCAGTATGGTTCCATGGACACATGGAAGCTGTTTCGAGGCTAACCTCAATGCACTGAAAATATGATTGGTTTGCCATTCTAGTTCCTAGTGTCTGGCCTATGTAGCAAAGTTAGCTCATACGCACAATTCTCTTGACCCCGAGCAGCTCACCAGACTCACATAATAGAAAACACAAATCTTAGGTAGCACTAAGAGTTCTAAATATAAATATAACACATTTTTCTCATTCAACCTGTTGTTAACCACCTAAAGCATATAAAATTGCCTATATGTCAAACAGGAAGCCCTCAGCAGAACTAGAAAAGTGTGGGAAAAGTTCAATCTTTGTAATAGAAGTAAAACGTTTTTAGAGTATATTCAAGAGCGAATCTTCATTTATGTTCCCGGCCTTTGATGATGTGGTTTTGTTTAAATGCTCTGTTGGATTACCTCGTGTTAACATCTCTTTCTCTGAATCTGAAAGTACCCATTAAAAAGTTTCCTATTGTTTGAAGTTATGACATTTGAAAAGGGAACGTATATGCATTTGAACACACTGTAGGTATTTTCATCGTCTTTCTTGTGCAATTGTGGAATCTGGACATGTTTCATTCATGAGTCCTGCAATTTTGGTCTTCTTAGAGTGCCCTAAAAAAAAAATCACAAGTCTTGAGATTAAATTGTGCTGCCAATATGTGAGCGAAGGCACCAACACAAGTGACAAATAACTCAAATATAGAAAACCTGCTGGTGTTGCATATTGTAATTGACCTTCTAAAAGTCTACTCCTTCTTTTAGTAAAAGTTTAGATGTCCTAGATGTCCATTGTTTATTACACAAAATAACCCCAATAAATCTCAAAGTGAAAAATAAGACAAAAAAATAATAATTTTACGCAACAGTTTGAGCTTACGGAGACAAAACATTCCTGAAGGCTATAATTTTAAGAAAACTCAAGGAAAGAGTTTATGCTTCAAGTGATTCAAATATTGAGTCATTGTTACTATGGTATCTAAACAATACTATACATTACAATATCGTAAATTGCAATGTTAGTTCCCAGCTTCCTCTCTTTAAATTAAGAGAGTCTCTAAACTTATAAGACTTGGAATATTTTAAAGGATTTTATATTTTCTTAAATGTTTTGTGTGTGAGATGACTAGTTTATAGTCCAGTCCACCAACTTTTCTGAGTATTGATTTCATGCAGTGACACAGACTTTGCAAGATTCAATCTGGGTTGGTCACCCAGTTTAGTGATTTAGTCTGCCAAGCTTTCAAATCTGTGCTGGAGTCCATTCTCAGGGAATTTCTCTCCACTGGAATATGTGCTTTGGCTATTCTATGCTTCATATTTATGTAATACTTTTCTACTGATTGATTGATGTGTTGATGGCCAGCAATCAAAGACTTTGATTCAGAACCAGTTGCATTATTTCTAGAAATGATTACCTAAATTTCTCTATGATTACCTCCCAAAATGCGTTAGTTGGGGATATAAAAAGAGACCTGGGAAATGACATAGAGAAAGGAATAATGAAACCTTCTCAGATATTCTGATAAAACTCTGAGTCTTCATTTCAGGTTTAGAATTGCTTTTAAAAAATCCACTGGGAGGTCTTGGTATGAATATTTACAGTATTTGTTAAAAATATTATATCCCATTTAATTGATTCCAAGCAGCTCATATCAATTTAACACATTAAACTAAATACAATAAAAATAAATTAAAACCAGTAGGCAAATAAAATACACAGAAAAGAAAGAAATAGTTAATATCGGGTAGAATTAATTAATTACATTATTTATTTCATTTATTCAGCTTACAGTGTACAAAACCAATAAAAGCAGTATAAATTTAAAAGCAACACAAATAAAACAATATAGCTCCTCCTCTAAATACAGTAATACATTAATCCCAGTTAATGTCCAGTACATTAGCATTAATAGCAATAACACTTAGACTTATATACCATTTCAGTGTTTTTAAGTGGTTTACAGAGTCAACATATTGTCCCCACCAATCTAGATCCTCATCACCTTGGAAGGATGGAAAGCTGAGTCAACCTTGAGCTTAGTGAGACTGGAACTGCCAAATTGTAGGCATTAAATTAAGGCTCCAAACAGTTGTGGAGCCTTCCTAAATACCAGATATATAGGGGCAAATCTATTATTGGAAAACATTTTCTTCCAAAAATGGGGATAGCTATAATGGGAAACTAATTTCTGGCTCCCATTTCTCCAACTTCACCAAGGGACAGAATCCCTTTTCCGAGTTGATATTGCAGGGAGATTCGACTTTAAGGAAACTTTCACTCAAGCCATTTATGACTTTGTAGATCAAAACCAACACATTGAACTGAGCTCAGATGGGTAACTCATATGAGGCCTGCATTCAGCAGGTGTACCACTGCTGAATCATCCTTTACCTGCCAGCAAGTAAGCTGCTGCATTGATACCAACTGAAGATTCCAGGTTGTTTTTCAAAGCAGCCCCAAATAGAATAAACTACATTACCTTTGATCAGAAATTGATGTGGGCATGAGTTACTATTGTCATGAGCTCTTATTCCAACAGAGGTGACCTCTGGAGCACCAGCTAGACTTGGTCAAGGCCTCCAACTACTGGTCAAGGCCTCCAACTACTGAACTAATGGTGAGTCAAAGAGAATTCTCAGATTGCAAATCTGGTCCTTCCACAGGTGTGCAAAATGACAAAATGACCATGTACCCAATGCACATACAAAAGGGATGCAACTTGTGCTGTAACGATATAACTTTTCTTTCATCACTCAGATTTGATACCCTCCTTCCCCATGACCACTACTGTTCCTTCCCATAAAAAGTAAGTCACTATAGCACTGGGGTGTCAAACTCAAGGCCTGTGTGGCGGACCCAGCCTGTGGGGTGCTTAAATCTGACCCAGAGGGCCAGCTTGGAAATAGCAAAAGCCCACAGTGCCTCTGGCATTTAAAATGGGGTACTGGAGGTTCACAAGCCCCCCCCCCCCGTGCATTTTTGGCCTGGATGGCCTCCTGCAGCACTCTGCTGGCCAAAATGGGGTGCGTGAGGCTGTATGAGACCCCACCATGCCCCATTTTGGCTGGCAGGGTACTGGAGGTGTCTATCTTGTTTGGCCCTCTGGCTGCCCCACAGAGAACTACAATGCTGATTTGGTCCTCCAGTTTTTAAACCCCCTGCTATAGTATCTTGTTGAAATGCAATGTGTTTTATGAAAACAAAGTGCATGGAGCATGCTGATTCATAGATTTAATAATATTTTGAGCAAACAGCAGTAAAGTTTACTGTGGGGTCAGCTTAAACTGTGGAAGTACTTTTTTTCACAGGTATTTGCACAGGTATTCAAAATAGAAAATAATAATACTATGTGCTATTCCTTCAAGTATTTTCATGGAAAGCAGGCCTTCCCTCTAGTCTATGAATTCATGCATGTGGTATGTCAAATTGATTCCTATTAAAGAGTTTGGTGTAGTGGTTAAGACATCAGGCTAGCAATTGTGAGACAATGAGTTATATAGTCTTTGCTTCTGGAGTTTTAGGACAAGTCCTTGATCGTAAATAAGTAGTACACAGTGTTTTGTGCATAGAAAGAGTTCAAAAAAAGAAGTGTAGATTAAGTCACACTGCACATTGTAAGGCAGTAGAGCTGTAATTTGCAGCACTATTTATCAGTAGTGGAAGTAGCCAAATATTTGATAGTAATGTCTCATTTCTACATCACTGTTGGGGCTTTCTCTTCAACAGAAATACTTCCCATGGAAAAACAAACCCTGCAGTTGAAGTGATGTTAACCTGATAATCCTACCTGAAAGTCAACAATGACAACCTTCATTTCTGGGACGCTGCTTGCTGTTTCTTTTACGCAAGCACTTAATGGAAGATAACAGAGTGGTACTTATGTAATTCGAATGGAAATGTCAAGTGCTCACAGCCTATGATTAGAGGTAAGTGCCCTGCTATTATACAGTAGCTCTCTGAAGTGCACCAGGCTGAGGATGTGACATGACCTCTTCTCAGCAAATGCTTGTCTCCCTCCTCTCTACAAGACCCTGGTCTCCCTTCCCCATTGACTGGTGCAACCCAGCAATGAGTAAAATATTCAACTCTGCACTTGTTGAATCACTGCCTGTCAATTTGGGTGAATGCTTTGCTATGGCCTCAAAGTGGGCTGCAATTCTTCACATATGGACTGAAACTTTCTTCTACTTTGACTACAAATGTTTCTTTCCCTTTTTAAAAGAAGGGAACATACATTAATAACCATTTCTTCCTGAACCCCTTAAGAAATGAATTGGCTGGAACAGAGAGAATAGGATTTGTAGCTGAACAATGCCATGTTCTAGGTTAAGGATAGATTCAATGTAGATCATGTATATTCCAGAACGGTGTACCAGATTCATTTGATTCTAGGAACATAGATGTCTCTGTAACTTGCAGAGTTTATTGAAGAGTGAATTTGCCCTTGGAAACAAGGTAATGCATGTATAGGCAAATCATATAAATATTCAAGCTACTTTAACTGTTGGAAAATTTATGTTTCAAGTAACAAAAAACACATATAGTAGTTTAAAAATGGCCACAAAACTGATTAAACATGATTATTTTATCTTACAATGTTCCTATTCAAGAGTTTGGTGTAGTGGTTAAGACATCAAGCTAGCAATTGTGAGACAATGAGTTATATAGTCTTTGCTTCTGGGGTTAAAAAATGTGATGGCACTGAAGCTGTTTTCCTTTCACATACCTTGATAACACAAAAACAGCTTTAAAAGAAAAGATAATAATCAGGAATTTGGTGACTAGACCATATTAAAATTGGGTTACGAGTCAGTTTTACCCTCCATGCGATGAAAATAGGCTATTCTCTAAGAGATTAAATCACTCCACTCATTGTCCATTGGATCACTTTCGATACTAGGAATTAGCCAAGCATAAATCTAGCTCTTGTGCTCTTCATCGGTTTTGCTCTCTCAACTGCCATGGTTATTTTTGTATTTTTCTGTAATTAATTCAATAGTTTTCTTTATCCTGGAGTGACATATGCAGCAACCTTAGCAATGGCTGATCTTTAATATCATTGGAAACAGGCAGACAGATTTATTCTTCTTGAGTATCATTTGGCTTAAGCTTTTTTGACACCGCAAACTGGAGGAATAATTTCACTTTAGAACAGCAATCACTGATTCTCATAATCATATTACCTGTGAGATCCATAATGCAACAGAGTAGTATTTGTTTGTTTTGGGGAGTACTGTACTTCGGGATGTGATTAAAGATAGTGGGGACAAAACCTGCTTAGAGGAAGAGCTTATTATGATTGTCCAGAAAATAAAAAGGATGCAACACTGTTCACCTATAAACAGAAATATTTGTTCTACTTGTTACTATCATGGCGTTTCTTTATCCAGCCAATACACAGATGATGCTACCTAATTTAGATAATAATCAGCATCTATAAGAAAACAAGGAGTCCTCAGTTCAACCCTGAGCCTGAAATATTAATCTCTATCAGTACTACAGTACAGTAGATTGAAATATTTAGATTTCAGCCATTTCTCAGCCAAAGTAAAAAGTTTTCCTAAATAAATGAACATACATTCCATATTTCATAGCCCATGTACTTAGTATTATCTGTATCTATATCTTTATCTATATATTCCTGTTTTAATTTCGGTGTCACTTTGAATATTTAGAAAGTTGCAGACTATTGTCTTCTGCCCAAATAAACTAAATGAAGTAGGACTTTATACATCAGCATGGGTCACCTTCATTTTGGGGAAAAGTTTATATATTTTGTATTAATCCTGGAATTAATTCTGTAGAAGCTTTGCATTTTCATAATTGCTGCTTGCTGTCCACAGCAGACAAGAAGAAATGTCTCAATAATATACCACTCTAGAAGGGCCACTATTAATAGCACAGAGTCAGGGGTCACTTTGGCAATTTGCCAGAATCTTGAGAGCTACACCCAATTAGTTTCTCCGCGTTTACATAATTTGCACAGGATTCTGAAATGCACCAGTTGTGTTTAAACTTGACATTTTTACTGAGAGCACCAGAGATCATATTATTATTATTATTATTATTATTATTATTATTATTATTATTATTA